CCAAAACTACAATGAGATGCCATCTCACCCCAACAATAGTGGCACTAGTCAAGAAAACAGAGAATAACAATGTTGGAGAGGTTGCAGAGAGATCGGAACTCTTACGTACTGCTGGTGGGAGTGTAAAATGGTACAACCACTTTGGAAAAGGATATGGCACCTCCTTAGAAAGCTACAAACAGAAATACCATACAATCTAGCAATCTAGAATATATCCTAGAGAAGAACTGTCACACAAATAGACATATGCATACCCATGTTCATTGTAGCACTGTTCACAATAGCAAAAAGATGGAAACAATTTAAGAGTCCATTAACAGATGAATGGATAAACAAATTATGGTACAGACACACAAGGGAATACTATGAAACAATAAAGAACAATGATAAATCTGTGAAACATCTCACAACACTGATGCACCTGGAGGGCATTATGCTGAAAGGAATAAGTCAATCATGAAAGGACAAATATTGCATGAGACCACTATTATAAAAACACAGAAAAAAGTTTATACACAGAGAAAAACATTCTTTAATGGTTATGAGGGTGGGGAAGGAGAGGGAGTAGAAATCACTAACTGGATAGTAGAACAGTGTCAACTTTGGTGAAGGGAAAGACAACATACAATATAGGGGAAATCAACACAACTTGACCAAAGCAAAGGCGTAGAAGCTTCCTAGACACATCCAAACACCTTGAGGGACGTAGCTGTTGGCACTGAGGGCTGGAGACCATAGTCTCAGGGGACATCTAGGTCAACTGGCATAACACAGTTCATAAAGAAAATGTTCTACATCCTACTTTGGTGAGTAGCATATGGGGTCTTAAAAGCTTGTGAGTGGCCATCTAAGATACATCTATTGGTAGCAGCTCATCCGGAACAAAGGAGAATGAAGAAAACCAAAGATACAAGGAAAATATTAACCCAAAGGATTAAAGAACCACATGAACCAGAGCCTCCACCAACCAGAGTCCAGAGGAACTAGATGTTGCCCAGCTACCATTACCAACTGCTCTGACAGGGATTAAAACAGAGAGTCCTGGACAGAGCAGGAGAAAAATGTAGAACAAAATTCCAATTCACGGAAAAAGGTCAGACTAACTGGTCTGACAGACTGGAGGACTCCCTGAGTCTATGGCCCCTGGACACTCTGCTAACTCAGAACTGAAACCACTCCTGAAGTCCACTTTTCAGACAGAGTAGACAGGCCTATAAAACAAACAATAACACACGTGAGGAACATGCTTCTTAATTCAATCGAATATACTAGACCAAATGGGCAACTCCTTCCTAAAAGCTAGGCAAGAAAGTAGGAAGGGACAGAAAAACCGGACAAACGGACACAGAGAACCCAGGGTGGAAGGGGAGAGAGTGTTGTCACATTGTAGGGAATGTAACCAATGTCACAAAACAATGTGTGTATATATTTTTGCATGAGAAACTAACTTGAGCTAAACTTTCACCTAAAGCACAATAAAAAAATAAAATAAAAACTCAGTCCAGATGTCCCTCCTTATAAAGCCCTTCCTAACAGCCACCCACCCCACATCCCCACAGGCAGAATTCTAAACTTCAGTTTGTGCCCTAGCTAACCTGTAGACCCTTGTGTGTTTGTGTGTATGTGTGTGTGCACACACCTGTGTGTGCATGTGCATGAACACATCTTGTCCCCCGACCCTGTGAAGTCAGTGAAGGGTAGGAACCAAATCTTCATCATGTTCCTCTCCCTACTGCACATGATGACAATGGATAATGAACATACTGGCTGTACTATTAACTAGCAGAAATAAGACTGATGATCAGCAGAAGATGAAGGAGAAGAAGAAGAAGTAAAGTTAGGCACAAGAGTGAGTTCTTAAGAAAGTATGTACACATACTGTGTGCAATAACAATGAGCACACCTGGAGCTCAGATCTCGGTTTCTAAATACGACTCTGATAAAAGGGCTGCTTAGAGAAGTGGCTGATCCTAGGGCTGGGACAGGAAAAATACAAGATGAGCCTGGAGTACCCTGTAGTGGCTCAAGAAACAAAAGCTTAGGGCATGTCAAAGACACACTGGAGCCAACCTGGAAGGCCCCCAAAGTCCAAATCTGGAACAATTTGAGCAACAAATAACGTGATATTGAATTACAACTCAAAGTGTAAAATCAATAATATTATCAAATAAGCAAATTATATCAATCTACACTGATACACATAAATGAGTAAATAAATGGGGGAGGAGAGACAACTCTTCCTCACAGAATTCCAAATATCTCCTTATATAGTAGATATTCTCCCACCCAGAGGTGAAGCTTAATTCCTCCTCCCTTGAGTGTAGGTTGGACTTAGTGACTCACATGCAAAGAACAGAGTATGGAAAGGAAAAACTTTCTAGTAACTTTATAGTAGAGAAAGCTGGCAAACACTACTTGGCAAACACTACCTCAACCAATGGTCATGGCTAACATCAGTGATAAATCATATTGACATAATTTACCCACTGTTATGGATTGAACTGCCCCCCACCCCACCAAAGTATGTGATGAAATTCTAACGTCTATAACCTGTGGATGTAATGTAATACAACATAATCACCTTCCACAATGCAACCTAATGTAATCTAATCAATCAATCAGTTGAGGTCATACCAGTGTAGGGTGGCTCCTAAACCTAATCACTTCTGAGTTATATAAAGAGCAGCATAGACATGGTGATTAGTGCACACAAGCAGGGGAAGACAGACACCATGTGAGGAGCCTGTACAAGCCAAGGAACCAAGAAATGTCTAGAACTACCTACAAGGAAGGAACCGACACAGCTGAGACCCTGAAGTTAGACTTGTAGCCTCCTGAACTGTGAGAAAGTAACTTTCTATTCTTTAAAGCCACTCACTTGTGATGTTTCTGTTAGAGCACACTAAGTAACCAAGACACCTGCTGGTATGATGTGATGAGGGCACTTCACCTCTGTGGTCTTCTTTCCAAAAACCTAGAAGTCCAGTCTAATCAGGAGGGAAATCTGACAAACCCAGATGGGGAGATGCTCTAAAAGACACTTGGCCAAGACTGTCAAAATCATGAAAAACAAGAAAAAGACTGAGAAGCTGTCACAGATCAGAAAAGGATGGGGAGACATGACAACAAAATGCAATGTGGTACCCCGGGCGACGCCCGAACAGAAAGAGGACATCACTGTGAAAACTGGAGAAATCCCAATAAAGTCTGGAGTTCAGTTACTAGTAACACACCAGTGTTAGCTTCTTAGTGCTGACGAGCATACCATGTTAACAATAGGGAAACTGGGTGAGGGGAATATGGACACTACCCAGGACGATTCTGAGTGCACTATTCTAAGTTACTTGCCCACGATTACACAGCTAATTAGGAGTGGGCCAAGATCTGTACAATCTTTGCAACTCTTTTGTAAATCTAAAATTATTCCAAAATGAGTTTGTTATAAAAAATTCTTAAGTTAGCTCCCATCAGCCCCAAAAGAAAGAAAGTCATCTCCACACAGGATGGAGGGGAGTGACAGAATGAGGCAAGGAAGCAGGACAGACTCAGGTTGAAGAGGTTACACCTCAACAGCCAGCAAGGCCATGAAGCCAGGTCCACTCGCCCAGCCCTGCGTTGTCCCCACTCATGCCAACGTGCACCTGCTGGCCCACCCATGCCTACGTCCACCGCACGCTGTGTGCCCATCTCTCTTCAAAGAATGCACACGTCTCCTCTCCTCCCTCCACCCAACAGGGCAGTCATGGCGGCCTGGGCTACCTTGTCATGGAGCTGCTGACCCTGCAGAGTAGCAGTCACCCACAGGAAGCCTTCTCCTCTGTCCCTGCTTCTTCAAGAGCAAGCCATCCTCTGAGACCCCTTTCAGCAGCCAATGGCCGAGGGCCTGGCTAGTCTGGGAGCTAAGACACAACAGCCCACCCAGATGGTGCCACCCGTTCCTGCTGACTCTCTGACCTCCCAGGCTCTGGGCCCTGCCTAGCTAGTCCTGAGGTGCCAGCCTGGCCCTTCCTTAGTCACTTTAGCTGCTACCTTCATTGGACAGGCCTCTTGTCCGCCCATGAACCTGAGGCTACAATGTCCTGGGCACCTACTACGTGCAAAGTGTTTCCAGCACGATCTTACACTTGCAACTCTAGGATAAGAACTAACAGTGTCACCACTATGGATGAAGAAGACACTGAGGCCTAGGAAGTTTCAATAACTTGTCCAAGGTTCCCAACAAGCCAAGGCTGGTCTTAACCAACCCTAAGGAGTCCGTGCAATATGGAGGTTCTCAGCCCAGGCTTTGGAGCCAAACTAACCTGGATTCAAGTGTGGCTCTGCCACCTAACAGCTGTGATGTTGTTAGTTGATGTTGAGTCGATTCTGATGCATGGTGACCCATGTGTGTCAGAGCAGGACTGCTCCATAGGTTTTCAGAAGTAAATTGCCAAGCCTGTCTTCTGAGGCACCTCTGAGTGGGTTCAAACCGCCAACCTTTTGGCTAATAGTCGAGTGCTTAACTGTTTGCACCACCCCAAGAAAATGTCCTTACCCTCTCAACCTCGGCTTCTGTAAAGTGAAGATACAATCCAGTTCCAGTTGCCATGGTGTCAACCCCGGCTCACCCCATGTGTGTCAGAGTAGAACAGTGCACCATAGGGTTTTCAATAGCTGATTTTTCCTAGGTAGAGTGCCAGGCCTTTCTTCTGAGGTGCCTCTGGGTAAATTTGAACCTCCAACCTTTCAGTTAGCAGCCAAGCATGTTAACCGTTTGAACCAGCCAGGGACTCCAGGGATACAGGAGGAGCTGCCTAATCAGGTTACTGAAAGAGGCCCTCACACAATGCCTGACAGAGTGAGCACCCCATGAAAGTTTTATCATTACTGCCATTAGCCAGTCCTGGGGTATCTGCCCAAAGGCCACCCCTCCTTAGCAAAACTCAGACACAGGGGGCTTTCCAATCCCAGAAAACACTGAGAGCCAACAGGAGGCCACCGTGCCCCAGCCAGGGACCCACCTGAAGCCCTTGTCGTCGATGTGGCAGTGCGCTGCAGAGACCAGCCAGGTGGGAGAGATGAGGGAGGCCCCGCAGACATGGCCCTGGCCCAGGGCGTGCAGGCTCACCTGCCACGGCCACTCGCCTTCATCCGCGTTCTGGCCCCCAACGACACGCGACTGCTTGCTGAACGACCGCTGCCCACAGTCTGCGAGGTGCAGAGAGCCCCGAAGGACTGTGAGCCGAGGGGACACGGGACCCCAGGGGCCCTGTGCCAGGCTCAGCACCTCAGAGCGAGAGCACAGCTGCGAAAGCAGGCGAGGCACGGGAGACCCCCCAGAAGTATCCTCAAGCCTCGTATACCTGGTCTCTCTCCTCTCCCCTGCTCCCAAACTCACAACCCTCACTCTCCCACCTCCCCCATCCTGCACAAATGCATCCAGGGCCCCCAGAAATGGGATGGTTTACATAGAGTTGATTTGGATATGATTTGCATAGATCTTGTTGAATGCTAAAGGACATGGTTCTCAGAGGGGAGAGAGGAAGGGTGACGTGAGGTCACAGAACGGCTGCAGCTGCACCAGCACTTCCCACACATACAACAGGCTACAAATTAAAGGATATAGTGGCGGGCACAGTAACCAGAACTAGGGCTCAGGTAAGCGGCACCCTATCCTCCAGCAGGAGGGAGGATGCCAGGGCTTTCCGTGCACACTGGGCTGCTGTCCACACAGCAGCGGGGCAGCCCAGGCACTGCGGCCAGGACAGCAGCTGTGTCACGGGTATGCTGGCATGCTGGCCACCCAGGGTTTCATCACCAGGACCACTGCTAACCCATGGGGAGTGCCTTGGAATCAGTTGGAAGAAGCCATTCTCTCCTCCAGACAGACACAGCCCCTCAGAGGGCACAGGTGTTGGTGAGTGAGGTGCTGGCCTGATCTCAGCCTCCTCGTGCCCTGCAGGGCTGGCACCTTGCACAGTGAACAACCTGCACAGCTGTGCCGGCAGCCCCGCTCACCACAGTCCTTCTCGTCTGAGCCGTCACTGCAGTCCTCCTTCCCGTCACACTCGGGGTTGCCCTTGTTCACACAGAGCCCGTTGTGGCAGCGATAGGTGTGCTGGGTGCAGGTGACGGTGCTCACTGCTCGAGGGGGAGGGCAGAGGGGAAGGCAATCAGCTTCTCTGTGGCCTCTGGCCACAGGCCACCAAGTCAGGGTCAGAAGCCTCCAGATGGCACCTGATGACCCATCGGCCTTAAGCCCCTCACTCAGGCCCACCCCAGTCTGCCGAGCACACCCTGCCCGCCCACACACGTCCACGGGTCGTGGAAGCCTGCTAAAGGTGTGCCCCCTCCTGGGAGCTCCGACGGGCGCCCTTTCTCGTCACACTCAGCACCCAGGGTGGAGCCTATTAAACTCAGTGACAGGCTGCCCCTCCCTGCACCCGCATCAGGAGGAAAGGCCCTGAAGGAAGGGGCCAGCCCCTGCTCCCTCCATCCCCCACTCCTCACCTTGGTCACACGAGGCCTCATCAGACCCATCCCCACAGTTGTCCTTCCCGTCACACTGCTGGCTCAGCGGGAGGCACTTCCCATTGCCACATTTGAAGGTCTGGGCTGGACAGCCTGGGAAGCACAAGCGTTAACGACAGCTGCTCATCCACCCACCCCCGGCCCCGGGGCTGGCCACCCGCTGAGCATCAGCCCTTCCCCAGGGAGAGCCCCAACAAGCACTCACTGCACCCCTGCTCGTCACTGTTGTCTCCGCAGTCGTTCACGCTGTCACAGACCCAGAAGAGAGGTTTGCAGAACTTGTTCTTGCAGGTGAACTGGTGAGTGGCGTTGCATACTGGAGGGTGAGGGGCGGGGTCACTAACCACTCCAGCCCATGCCGACTGCCTGGGGACCACGCTCCCATCTGAGAGCGGCGGCCCGAGTGTCCCTGCTCTACCAGCTACGGAAGCTGACTCAGCACTTCTGTTCCAACAGAAGCAAGATGCCCAAACCGCAGAGTGGGGAGAGGTCCCAGGCTAGATTTCCACACTCAGGGGAGATCCGTGGGACCCAGTGAGGGCAGGCGGGCAGCGAGGGGACAGGGCCCGGCCGACTCACCACAGTTGAGCTCGTCGCTGTGGTCAGTGCAGTCGGCCCAGCCGTCACAACGCAGGGCGTTCCGGATGCACCGCCCCGTTTTGCAGGTGAACATGCCAGGGCACGCTGTGGGCACAGGGCAGGCCTGACGTCCACGGCCCCTGCCCTGGCCCCCCACAGCTGGCTCCTGCACCCAGCTCCCTCGGCCAATGGCACAGCCACACTAGGGACAAACAGAGCCTCTCCCACCTGTCCCTCAGACGGGAGGAGTTGGAGCTGGCGCCTCAGGACCGGGCCTCCCGGGTCCTAAAGTGCCCCTCTTTCTGACAAGGTGCCTGCTTGGCAAAGGGACGCCTACGCCACACAGCCAGTGAGGAGAGGGGTGTCCGTGGGATCCCTGGCTGACACGACTGGCCTCCAGCGACTGAAACTCCAGCAAAGAGACCAGCCTGGGTGGGCACTCAGTCCTACTGCTGCTGCTTCACCCTCGCCTGTCCCCGCCCCCGCCTGTTCCGGCCCTCGCCTGTCCCAGGCACCTCCCCTCTAACATGGGACCCGCAGTTTGGCAGGCTGGTGCTCTGCACTCCCCACGTGTAAAACTGCATCGCTGTACTTCCTTAATTCCAAGATACTTTCCACCTCTTAATGTTTCTGAAATTGGGATGCACCCGACAACTGATGTCAAAATGGGGTTGTCATCAGGCAGATGACAGAGGCCACTGTCACCACCGCTACACAGCCCTGGTGGTGGTGGCGCAATGGTTAAGCACTTGGGTGCTAACCAAAAGGCTGGCAGTTCAAACCCACCAGCCACTCCAGGGGAGAAAAGAAGACCTGGCAATCTGCTCCCGTGAAGATTTACAGCCTAGGAAACCCCATGGGGCAGTTCTACTCTGCCTTATAGGGTTGCTATGAGTCGGAATGGACTCCGTGGCACACAGTATAACAACAACACAGGTAAGCTTAGTCACTATCAAAGGTAAATTCGTTCATCCCATCTGGTTGTAAGCCATGCAGCCGAGAGTTAACTTAAATTTGGATTTCTAAGTTAAAATATCTTCCAAATGTAATTCTATGCTGCAGGGTTGAAACAAAAAATACATGGAAGAATTGCTAGTCAAATAGCAGGCAGTGAAATTATAGATTTACTATAGATTATAAATTTATTCTAGATCACAGGTTTTCAGACCTAGGAGTGGTTAGTGTGACAATTTATTCCGTGTGAAAAATCACCACTCTCCTGCTAAACAGCACTGGTCAAAGCCTTCTCGCTAATGGTGAAGCAGTTCAACTCCATCTTGGGGGGAAATTAAACTATCGGGCCAACAAAAAAGGAAATGCAAAACACAGCCCCAGTATTTTCCAAAATGTCTCCAAAAATTATGCTATTAATCCTAAAAGTGCTAAAAGGTCCCTAAGACAAGCCTCGATTTTAAAGTCCCTTGAGGCTGCACCACAGGGATGATGCCAACGGGACTCGGGGAGTCTGTAGCTCAGCCTGTCCACCAGGACTGTGGCCCTGAGGGGCACGGTGGGTAACTCTGAACCATCAGGCTTTTTTAATAAATACGTTTGTCATGGATTGAACTGTGTTCCCCAGAAATATCTGTCAACTTGACTGGGTCATGATTCCCAGTATCGTATGATTGTGTACCATTTTGTAATCTGATGTGATTTCCTTATGTGCTGTAAACTCTATCACTATAATGTAATAAGATGGATTAGTGGCAGTTATACTGATGAGGTCTACAAGATTAGTGTCTTCAGCCAATCTCTTTTGAGCTATAAAAGAGAGAAGCGAGCAGAGACACATGGGAACCTCACACCACCAAGAAAGGAGTGCTAGGAGCAGAGCGCTCCCTTTGGACCTGAGGTTCCTGTGCAGAGAAGCTCCCGGACCAAGGGAAGATTGATGACAAGGACCTTCCTCCAGAGTCGACAGAGAAAGCCTTCTCCTGGAGCTGACGCCCTGAATTTGGACTTGTAGCCTACTGGACTGTGAGAGAATAAACTTCTGTTTGTTAAAGCCATCCACTTGTGGTATTTGTTATAGCAGCACTAGATGACTAAGAACGTTTAAGCTGCGTTTTTCCCCAAAAAAAGCTACTCAAGTGATATGCAGCTTACATTCGCTGGAGCCTCACAACCAGGAAAGCACAAGATACAGAGTCGATAGTTCATCTTGGGTGAATCCTTGAACCAGGGTCTTCTTCCAAAGGTCACTGAGCAATGTCCTAAACCTAACCCTATTTACTCACGGTCTCTGGAGTCATAGGAGAGGAACTCCGCCAGGAACCCTGTGTCGGCGTAGGACTGGTCCGAGTGGAAGTGGACTGTGATCTTGCTGCTGTTGCTGGTGACAACAAACTCGGACTTCTCTCCACAATGCCTGGAAGGGAGTGCATGGCGGTGAGACCAGAAGCCTGGAGGAGTCTGCCTTCCCACAACACCCGCAGGATGTGACGAGGCTGCCCCCACGCCCCCAGGGTACGCACTTCTCCCCGTTGACTTCCACATAGTCTTTGGTGCAGATGACTGGTGACACATTGGGCTCCACCAAGTAGAACACCTTGAAGCGCACCTTCACGTATTGCTTGTTGGGCACCTGAAGGGAGAGCTGTGGCTAGGTCTGCTGCCTCTTTCCCCTTTTCCTAAGCCCCAGGATGTCACATGACAGTGTTCGGGGGCAGGGGAGAAGGGAGGGGAGCAACAGCACAGTTGTTGAGTTTTTCTTTTCCCTCTTCATTTCTCGTTTTCCATCCTCCAGACTGAGCCCACGTGGGCAGCACGGAACACACAGCAGAGATGTTCTGGGTTCGGTGTTTAGAACTTCTACATCAGGGGCAGGAAACGCTATCGTAGTATGAGAGGAGGCTAGAAGGTTCTCCAGATGTTACTGGATCTCTGGCTGGGATAGTGTGAAGGTCAGCCCTATGGGCAAGACTATCTTTTCCAGCTGCCATGTGATCAGTGCTTCTCAGTGTCAGGAACCATGCCTGGCACGCTCTCTCAGACTGAACAGTAAACTGAGGCCCAAAGAGGCTAACGAATGGGCTAAGGTCCCTCAGCCAATAACTGATGACGGAGCTAGGATATGAACCTGGTCTGTGGCGCGGAAGCAGACGATCTGAAGGAACCCCACGCAAGCCTGTGGGGCTCAGATACGGGCATGCCGGCTTGCTGAAGGAGCTCAGTCTCCCCTCTCCCTGCCCTTTCTGGGTGCCACCCTGGAGCAGCCATCTCCCTCACACGGACCCCACAGCACCTACCTCGATGTTCCATGTGCAGTCGATATTGGGTGGGTAGTGGCCCGGGTAATAGGGGCTGCTAAATGTCCCTTGGGCTTGATGTAAGTAACCTCCACACCCTGAGAGGAAAGGGCAGGAGAGACAGTGTGAGGGTCCAGGGACCCGTTTGGCCAAGGAAGCAGGAGGAGTGGGCTCTGCTCCCCAAGGAAAACAGGCCTAAGGGAAACCCTGCATTCTTCTCATGCTGACCCCACAGGAGAGGCATGTGGCATGCCTGGGTACCTGCACACTTAACAGCAGGCTGTGGAAAGTCAGAGTAGTGGGCTCACTGTTTCAGGGACGGCTCCTGACCCAGGCAGTCGACAAAATGCCTGTTGGCTTAAGGCTCAAGCCTCTGTCGCTGACCTGAGCCAGTTCCCCAGCCGCCAAGGGTTAGCCTGTGCTCCCTGGGCCCAAGTCACCCTCGAAGGCACAAGCCCTCCTCCCTTCCAGCGGACAGTACTGCCCACTCTGCCCTTCCTTACCGCTCATCTTGGTCAGCTGGAAGAACGTGGCCTCAAAGCCGGGGTGTCGCCGCTTAGATTTGGATATCAGCGTGACGAGAAAGACGTTCTGGGACGAGAGGAAGGTCAGGTTGTAGGAGGGAGGGTAGGTGCCACACAGCCTGTAGGGTGGGCAGAGGGAGGCGGGGTTAGGAAAGCAGACAGAGCCTGAGCTGCTCAGAAGCCCCTCTGCTCCCCAAACAGAGGAGCCCTAAGAACACAGCACCACAAAAGGCTGCCTCCCCCAGCCCTCGCCTGTCCCAGCCAACACCTGCCCCAGCCCTCGCCTGCCCTAGCCCTTGCCTGCCCCAGCCCTCGCCTGTCCCCGCCAATGCCTGCCCCAGCCCTCGCCTGTCCCCTCCAACGCCTGCCCCAGCCCTCGCCTGTCCCCGCCAACGCCTGCCCCAGCCCTCGCCTGCCCTAGCCCTCGCCTGCCCTAGCCCTCGCCTGTCCCCAATGCCTGTCCCCGCCAATGCCTGCCCCAGCCCTCGCCTGCCCCAGCCCTCGCCTGTCCCCGCCAACGCCTGCCCCAGCCCTCGCCTGTCCCCGCCAATGCCTGCCCCAGCCCTCGCCTGTCCCCTCCAACGCCTGCCCCAGCCCCTGCCTGTCCCCGCCAACGCCTGCCCCAGCCCTCGCATGTCCCCACCAACGCCTGCCCCAGCCCTCGCCTGCCCCAGCCCTTGCCTGCCCCAGCCCTTGCCTGCCCCAGCCCTCGCCTGTCCTGGGCGCCTCCCCTCTAACGTGGGAGCTTCAGCAGCTCCGGGGCTGGTGCTCTGCACTCCCCAAATGCAAAACGGCATCGCTGTACTTCCTCAATCCCAAGATCTTTCCACATTTTAATGTTTCTGGAATCAGGATGTGCCTGACAACTGATGTCAAAATGCAGCTGCCAGCCACCAGCAGATGGCAGAGCTGTGGGGGCTGTCCTTGCCGTCGGTGCACAGGTGAGCCTGGTCACCTGTCAGAGGTGTTCGTTCATCCAGTTGTACTTCTGCTTGTAAGCCATGCAGCTGAATTTTAATTAAATTTGGATTTCTGAGTATAGTTAAAATGTGTTAAACGTTCCAGCCACAAAAGATGAGGGTGGGGTTAAAAAGACCCTCAGATAAGTCCCTTCCCACACAAGCAATCAAGGATGTAAGGATTTAGTTATAAGACTGTTTATCTTGAAAATGGCAAAACCTTAGACACATTAATCGCCTAACAATAGAGGATGCATTAAACTATGGGCTGAATAATATCAATAGTAACCGTAGTAACAGCAACACAACTAACACTGATTAAGAGCATGCCAGGCACTGTTCTTAATGCTTCTGTATTTATTTACTCATGTCAACCTACCTCTGAGGTAGATACTATTATCCCCATTTTATAGATAAGGAAACTGAGGCATAGAGAGGTTAGCTAACTTGCTCAGGTTTACAGAGTTCGTAAGTGGCAGAGGAGGGTCTCCAACTCAGGCCTTCGGGCCCCAGAGCCCACACTCTCAGTGACGACACCGCCTGCCTCTAACCAACGCAACCTCACGTAGCTATTAAAACGATGGTTACAAACAGGCCTACTGATCTGGAAAAATCATCATGATACACCTTGTTTAAAAAAGCAGGTCGAAAAACTAAACGTATAGTATACTTCTATTTTTAAATACACATATTCACCAAAAATATAACCTATGGTGATTTCTAGATAGTGAGATTACTAGTGGTTTTGGTCTTTTTGCTCATCTTTTTTCTCCTTTTGTACAATTAATAAATAAGTTGGAGAGCAGGAAAGAAATCGCCACATCTCTGGTGCTTCGGAGCAGTCCCTGCTGCTAAGCTGTGGTGACTGATAGTTCTCTCTTTTGCTTGGGGTCTGAACTTTAACCAATTATTAATCATGAAACATGAAACACCTTCCCGCCTCATTTCCACGCAGGGCAGGAGATGGCTCTGGCCCACTGAGTCAGGGGCCCGGCAGGCAGGCCCTCTGAGAGGCCGGCTGTGCACTGAGGTGAGCACCCACCCCACAGCAAGGCCTCTTCTTGTGTACAAGCAGAGACGCCCGCTGAGCCTTCCTCATGAGCCTCCCTCATCCTGGCAAAGGCTGAGAAATCCCCTCTGAGATGCTCATCTGGAAGGCGTGTTGAAGATCACCCCACACCTATTCCGTGCTGCCTGGAAGCTGTGCGGTGGTCTCAGCAGTGAGTCATTACCTGTACCCTCATCTGCATCACAGCGCAGCAGTGATGGGGGGAGTCATGCTGTGCCTGCACTGCGCAAACGTGAAGTGGAATCCCGGTATTTCCTACGCTGCACTCCACTCGGGGTGCCTGGCCCCACCAGGAGGACCCTCCTCCCCCCTCACACTCACCGGACCACAGCATGGGGCTCTATGGGGCTCAGGCTGTCGTAGACTGTAACCACGGCACTGCCCCGCTGATCACAAGCCGCAAGATCAAAGCTGCGGAAGGTGAGGCTCAGCACCGAGTTGGCATCTCCCCGCAGGGCCCACTGACAGTGGGCGTGCGCGGGGTAGGGGCTATCAGGGAAGCCGGGCGTGGCGAAGCGCATCCACTCCCCACCGCGGGCGTGCAGGGCGAAGTTGCAGCTGTCTGTGCGGGAGACAGGGCGGATGGGGGCGTCGAGCCGAGCTCCGAGACCCAGGGGGTGCCCTCCCAGCTTCCCTGGGGACAGCTCTAGCTGGACGCGGAAGATGACAGGGCTTTCAAAGGGGTCTGGAAGAGGCGGAGGGATGCGGCGACCATCACCGCTGGGATTTCTGGGCCCCTTATGACCACATCCTCTGCCTCCCTCCGGTCAGCCAGAGGCGGAGAAGGAAGGCATGTACTTACTGTCCCGGGTCTTCAGCGCTGTTCTGGGGTCAGTGGCTGAAGAACAGAGGAAGCACAAAGTATTTACTGATGCTGTCCTTCCCTATTTCTGCTTCCCTACTGCCCCACGGGGAGGTGCCCAGATCAGCGCCTGGACTCCGCGAGTGCTGCAGGTGGTCAGGACCCCAACCCACTGCACTGAAGGCTGGCCCCCTCCCTGCCACACGCTCCTCACTGCTGCCCCCCTCCCCAACTCACGGTAGGCCACCACAGAAGTCAGCACAGTGGAGTGGTGAGCCCGTGCACGGGGCGGCAGAATGACCACGCGCTCCTCTGCCATGGTGCGCTCCGCCTCCTCCACCAGGTGCTTCGGGAAGCTGAATTCCGACCAGTAGTAGGCGATGACGCTGCCCTCGCTGGAGAGAGGAGGGCCTGTGTCACTGGGCTCTGGGCACACCCCTTCCCCCACGCCCCTACTGACTGCCAGGGGCAGACTGGGCAGCTCAGGCCATTCTCACACAGGCTCAAGGGACCGCCTTCCAGCAGAGTCCCCGCCCCCAGGCAAAGTCCCCACGCCCAAGGCAGTCCCTGTCCCCCAGATTCTCTTTTATTCCCACTGACTTTTGGATTTCCTAAGCAGGAGATCTCGCCTCGTCACCCTGGGCTCCACCAGTCTCAGCCCTGCCCCCAAGCAGACACATTCTGGGGCCAGTTCAGGCTCAGGATTGGAGTTTGGGCTCTAACACTAGCTGGCGTACACCGCCTACCACCTTCCTTTGCCTCCTGGTCTGAGAAAGGGGATGACAACGCCACCTGCCACACGGCATTCATCAGGATTAAGGTAAATGAGCAAGATAAAAAGTACTCTGGAAAACCAGAAAGCCCTACACGAATGAGTTATTAATACATAAGCCAAAACAGCGAAACCGTGAGGCCTCACGGAAGCCTTCTGGAGCACCTCAACTCCCCCAAACTCGAATTTGTAAAAATCAATAAGGACGACCCCAGCTGAGCGCAGCTTCTGTGGCAGGCCCTGTGCACTGCACGTCACCTGCATTTGCCGCCCCCTGCATTCTAGAAACGTCACTATTGTTACCCCAACTGAAGGGACAAAAGAGCTCAGTGAGCTAAGTAACTCACTCAAGGAGGGCCTGGACCCCGGGTTTGTTTAAGCCAGGGCCTCAGAGCTTCACCACTTGCAGATTACAGGACATCTGCTCCCTGCCAGCCCCCACCCCAATACTACAGCAACCTGATCCTATTCCTGGTCAGGCCAGAGACAATCCCATGGCTCCCCTTCTGTTTCCATTCTCCAGGCACAGCCTTCCCCGCAGCACCCACCTGAAGGCAGTCACCGCTGACTCCTTGTGGTAGGGGCCCAGGGCCGGGATTCCACTGTATAACAGCTTCAGCTGAGGGTGGAGAGGAGGCTCACAGCAGGCCAAGTCAGGCCAGTAATCCTTCCCTCCCCCTCCATGCCCATGCCCCTCCCCCTCTCACATCACACCCCCCAGGGACCTGGGAGGAAAGATGAAAAGAAACCAGGTGTCCTTCTACTGCAAGGGGTGGGGTACCAGAGCAAGAGACAGGGCCCAGCCATCAGACTCACCGCTTCCTTCACCCTGTTGGCCAGGTATGCGAACTCTGTGGAGTTGGAGTTCTCGTAGGCATCCACGAAGTTCTCGTTTTTGATCCTCAGGTGGCCATTGAAGACCTTCGGGATGCGCTCATTCCGGTCTGGGCAGACCAGGGAAGGAGAGCAGTGGGACCACACGCTCCTCCTCCTCCCCCCGTGTCTCCAAATCTCCCTCCCAGATGGAGTGAATGCCAGGAGGTGACAAGCGGACTCATGAACCTACTGGCCAACTCCTCCACCCATCACCCTCTCCTTACAGCTTCAAAGAGCCAGGAGAGACGGAGCCTTAAAATCTCCTCTTTACCCCACCCCAAAACTCTACCCCTCAACTAACACACACACACTCCCTCACTCTCTCGTTCATATAACATCCAGTCAGGAGGGGGTGGGTCTGGGGCATATCCGATGAAGAAGCAGATCCCTCCCCAGAGCCAACGCCCCCAGCCTTACTCACGCTGGAAGTGCCACACAAGGACACCAACCACGAGAGAAAGCAGAAAGAAGCCAATGACCACGGCCGCCAGCACCACCCAGCATCTCCGGCCCTGCTTCTCCACCTTCTTTGCATTGTTGACTGGCAGGAACTCCACACCTTCCTCAAAGCCATTCAGGTTCTGAGCAGAGAAATACACGGCAACTTGGAACCTCGCTCTCTCACCTCAACAGCCTCCCCAGCCCAACTCAGAAAAGAATAGTCACATTTTTTGAAGTCCAGCTTGGAGAAAAAGGCAAGGACTTGGATGAGAAGAGTGGTTAGTCCTCGGCTATATGGAACGCTCTGCCCAAAGAGATGTGAGCCCAGTTCATCCTACCGGAGGAGAACTAGGAAGGAGACCTGCCATCCAGGCATCCCACTGTCGGGGCAGCACCAGGCGTGTAATGTGTAAGATTGGTTAATTTAAATAAAAACTAAATGACGTTTCCTGAAAAAGTCAGACAGAGAATTACACTATGACCCAAGCAATTCCAATCCTAGCTACATAGCCTTGAAAGCTGGGACTCAAAGAGGCATGGGTACATCAATGTGCATCGCAGTACTGTTGACAATTGCCAAAAGGTGAAAATAACCCAAGTATCCATCAACAGATGAATGCATAAACCAAATGTGGTATAAACAATGGAATATTATTCAGCCACAAAGAGAAATGAAGTCCTGACACATGCCATGACATGAATGAACCTTGAAAACATGCTGAGTGAAATAAGCCAGACACAAAAGGACAAAGACTGTATGATCCCACTTATATGAACTCTCTGGACTAGGCAAATGTTTAGAGACCAAAGTTTATAGTGCGTACCAGGGGCTGAGGGAAGGAGGAAAGAGAGACTCATTGCTTAAGGACCACTGAATTCCTGGTAATGGTGATGGAAAAATTTAGAAACAAGTATAAAAGAGTTTTCCCATTCCTGCCACATTTGGGCACTTATATCTCTAATGTTCGCTTCCCTGTTGGTCACAGTTGTCACTTTATCTAATATCACGCACACAAACACACTTCAGACGCAACCACTTTAAAGTGTTCTCGAGCTGTTTCTTCTGGAATTTGTCTTCCAAATAATGTCAGTACCAGTCTCTTGATTCATCAATTTAAAATATAATCAACTGAAAACAACTCCATTTACAACAGCATAAACAGAATAAAATATATAGGAATAAATTTACCCAGGGATGTGAAAGACTTATACAATGAAAAGTATAAAACACTGCAGAAGAAGACTAAGGAAGACCTAAATAGATGGAAAGATATTCTATGCTCAAGGAATGGAAGACTTAATACCGTCAAGAGGTCAATACTACCCAAAGCGATCTACAGATACACACTCCTGATCAAAATTCCAACAACATTCTTTATAGAGATGGAAAAACTAATCGTCAATTCTATATGGAAAGACACGGTGCAATTAATTACTTTTGTGTGTGGCCTTTCTAGCCATTGTCTTAAGACTCCCACCCAGGTGACTGGATGGGGCAGTGCAAATAAGGTAATTGTGGCCTACAGAGGGGATTGGTCAGTTGCCTTAAAATAGAGCCAATTCCAGAGCAGAGAGGAGAGCCCACCACCACCAAAGAAGGAAAGACCCGCAGCAGAGACCCACAGCAGAGACCTGCAGGAGACGGCACACTGGGTTTCCCGGCCGATGGAGTGAGAAAGCTGAGTGCCTCTGGGCAGAGACTGAGGGCCAGGGAGAGGTTTACGCTGACCCACGGGTTTGGGACTCGCCAGCCTCCACAACCACATGAGCCATTTCCTTTATATGGTTCGTGAGTTCTGTGAGACGTTGCAGGGAATTAGGGAACCCAAAGACAGGAGGGAGAGTACTGAGGCGAGAGGGAGTAGTTGATGTTAGAGATGATGGAGTGGTACTGCAGCTTGGAAAAGTTACACATTTGGGACATCTTTAATCTCCGCCTCATAGGAACCAGCTTTGAGCTGATCCTTATAAAAGAAATTGTTCGTTTAAAAGACACAACCAAAAAAACAAACTCACTGTCGACGAGTTGATTCTAACTTAAAGCAAGAATAGAATTGCCCTAAAGGGTTTCCAAGGCTGTAATCTTTACCAAAGCAGACTGCCACATCTTTCTCCTTTGAAGTGGTGGCCGGTGGGTTCAAACTGCTGACCTTTCAGCTAGCAGCGAAGCACTTAACCACTGCGCCACTAGGGCTCCTTATGGAAAGACAAGAGACTCCAAACAGCCAAATCAATTATGAAGAAGAACAAAGCAGGAGGCTTCATACTCCCATCTTCAAAACATATTACATAGCCACAGTAATCAAAACAGCCTAGTATTGGTTTAATGGTGGACACTTAGACCAATGGAACAGAATTGAAAACTCAGAAATAAATCCAAAACATCTACTGTCTATTGATTTTTGACATGGGAGCTAAATCTGTTGAATGGGGAAGAAACAAGTCTCTTCAACAAATTATGTTGGCAAAACTAGATTTCCACATGCAGAGAAATGAAGCAAGAACCGTGCTTCATGCCATTTACAAAAACTAACTCAAAATGGATCAAGGACCTAAACGTGAAGTCTAAAACCATAAAGTTCTTTGAAGAAAATACAGGAGCAAAGCTATGGGACCTAATTTTTTTCAGTGATAGATTATCAAACACAATCAATGCACAAGCAGCAGAAAACAAAATATATAACTGAGACCTCATAAAAACAAATACTGTGTTCATCAAAAGACTTTATCAAGAGTAAAAAGACAACCTATAAACTGGAAAAAAATCTTTGGGAACAATATAACCTATAAAGAAAACAAAGCAGTTGCGGTCGAGTCGATTCCAACTCATAGCTACCCTATAGGACAGAGTAGAACTGCACGATAGTGTTTCTAAGGAGCAGCCGGTGGATTTGAAGTGCCGACCTTTTGGTTGGCAGCAAAATGCTTAACTACTGTGCAACCAGGGCCCCATATAACCAATAGGGGCCTAATATCTAAAATATATATAAAACTTCTACAACTTAACAACAAAAAGACATAACCCAATCAAAAATGAGCAAAGGACATGAACAGACACTTCATCAAAGAGAGTATTCAAATGGCCAACAAACATGAAAAGATGCTCAGCATCATTAGCCATCAGAGGAATGCAAATCAAAACTACAATGAACTACCATCTCACTTCCACTGGGATGGCTACCATTTAAAAAAAAACGAAAAATAACAAATGGTGGTGAGGATGTGGGGAAATTGGAACCCTTATCCATTGCTGGTTGGCATGCAAAATAGTATAGCCCTTGAGGAAAACAGTGTGGCAGTTCCTCAAAAAAACTAAAAATAGAACTACCATATGATCTAGCAATTCCACTCCTAGGTATATACCCTAGGGATCTAACAGAAGTGACATGAACAGACATATGCACACCTGTGTTCACTGCAGCACTATTCACAACAGCAAAAAGATGGAAACAAGCTAAGCGCCCATCAATAGATGAATGTTGTTGTTGTTGTTAGGTGCTGTCGAGTTGGTTCCCACTCATAGTGACCCGATGCACCACAGAGCAAAACATTGCCCGGTCCTCTGCCATGCTCACAATTTAACAATTGAGCCCATTGTTGTAGCCACTGTGTCAATCCATTTTGCTGAGGGTCTTCCTCTTTTTCACTGACCCCGTACTTTACCAAGCATGATGTCCTTCTCCAGGGACTGATCCTCCCTGACAGCACGTCCAAAGTATGGAAGACATAGTCTTGCCATCCTTGCTTCTAAGGAGCATTCTGGTTGTACTTCTTCCAAGACAGATTTGTTCGTTCTTTTGGCAGTCCATGGTATAGACAATATTCTTCACCAACGCCACAATTCAAAGGCATCAATCCTTCTTTGGTCTTCCTTATTCATTGTCCAGTTTTCACATGCATATGAGGTGATTGAAAACGTCATGGCTTGGGTCAGGCACACCTTAGTTTTCAAGGTGACATCTCTGCTTTTCAACACTTTAAAGAGGTCTTTTGCAGCAGATTTGCCCAATGCAATGCGTCTTTTGATTTCTTGACCGCTGCTTCCGTGGGTGTTGATTGTGGATTCAAGTAAAATGAAATCCTTGACAATTTCAATCTTTTCTCCATTTATCATGATGTTGCTTACTGGTCCAGTTGTGAGGACTTTTGTTTTCTTTATGTTGAGGTGTAATCCATACTGAAGGCTGTGGTCTTTGACCTTCATCAATAAGTGCTTCAAGTCCTCCTCACTTTCAGCAAGCAAGGTTGTGTTATCTGCATACTGCACGTTGTTAATGAGTCCTCCTCCCATCCTGATGCCCCATTCTTCTTTATATAGTCCATCTTCTGGATTATTTGCTCAGCATACAGACTGAATAGGTATGGTGAAAGGATGCAACCCTGATACACACCTTTCCTGACTTTAAACCACTCAGTATCCCTTGTTCTGCCCGAACAACTGCCTCTTGATCTATGTACAGGTTCCTCATGATCACAATTAAGTGTTCTGAAATTCCCATTCTTCGAAATGTTATCCATAATTTGTTATGATCCACACAGTCAAATGCCTTTGCGTAGTCAATAAAACACAGGTAAACATCTTTCTGGTATTCTCTGCTTTCAGCCTGGATCCATCTGACATCCGCAGTGATATCCCTACTTCCACGTCCTCTTCTAAATCAGGTCTGAATTTCTGGCATCCCCTGTCGACCTACTGCTGCAGCCACTTTTGAATGATCTTCAGCAAAATTTTACTTGTGTGTGATGTTGTTCGATAATTTCCGTTTTCGGTTGGATCACCTTTACTGGGAATAGGCATAAATAAGGATCTCTTCCAGTCGGTTGGCAGGTAGCTGTCTTCCAAAAAGCTGTCTTCCAAATTTCTTGGCATAGATGAGTGGGTGCCTCCAGTGCTGCATCCATTTGTTGAAACATCTCAATTGATATATCCCGCCAATTCCCGGAGATTTGTTTTTTGCCAATGCCTTGAGTGCAGCTTGGACTTCCTCCTTCGGTACCATCAGTTCCTGATTATATGCCACCTCTTGAAACGGCTGAACCTCGACCAATTCTTTTTGGTATAATGACTCTGTATTCCTTCCATCTTCTTTTGATGCTTCCTGCGTCATTAAATATTTTCCCCCTAGAACCTTTCACTATT